CATTCAAAATAGTATTCTAAATTACTTAATTTCTAAAATTGCTAAATACCCTGAATTTTTACAGCCATTATAGATATCTAGTTAGATTTAAAGAATGTAGTTTCATTTAGGAGTCATTAAGATTGAAAAGAACTCATTCCTGCAAGGCTCAGTTGATTTCATAGCATTTGCAGCGTTTAACCAATTTTGTATGTAATACCTGCATCTCAAAGAAATAAAATTTTAACTCATTGAGTTCTTACCCTACACAATCATCTGCTAATCCTGTATCATAGAAGTGCTGGGCACCCAGCTCCTGAAGTCGCCTGTCTACTGTCTTCCCACCGTTACAGAAGAAGGTGTACTCGGAATCCCCCAGGCCTAACAAGTTCAGAGACAGGAATCACATCAGTCACTCGGCAGAGCTTACACGGACAACAAACTGCAACAAACAAGAGGCAAATAAGAGAATCCAAAATACCAAAGCGCGCGTTACGAAAACACTTGTATGATCACTAACATAAGGGAGGCAATACCAGAAGAAGTTCAAAAATATCAGAATCTAAAAAAGTTAGAAACATAGGAAGCAATTTTAAACCACATGAAGGAAGAAATTACAGGACAGCATGCATAAGGGAATCTGGTTCCCAAACCCCGCACTAGAATCACAGCTCCTAAGGAAAACCTTTTTTGCAGATCTAATTTTCACTGCATTTCAAGATTCTGACTTTTAATAGCCAGAAAGAGCTTCCTTCTGAAGCTGCATTTTGTTATCAATTAAAAATTCAGTGGAACCAGGAGTCACATTCATGTAGGCTCTGAGACTTCAGGATGTTACAACTAGTCCTCCCACCTAACTCACGTTAAGATTAACAGCTCGTGCCCCATCCCTGAGGGATCCTCAGCTAATACAGTTCTGAAGATCCTGGCTATGTAGACGCCACAAATTCTCTATACAATTTACATCAGCATCTCGCTGTCCTAACTATCAGAATTTTTCATAGCCTGACTGTTTCCTGTTGTAATTTAAAGCCCCTACATCCTTACTCCACCTATCAGTAGGCAGTGACAAGGGACTAATTCACAGGGATTTTGCATGAAATTACAGAACTTCAGAAATCACAGACACCTTACATCTTATTTTATGCATAAAACTGAAGTCTTAAAAATGTAATTAGTAGCCAACTTTCACTTTTGTGACATTCTTCTTTTATTCCTCATAGAAGAGACCTGTTCACAACATAAAAATAAATGTATTTTAAATATATGTAATTTAAGAAACGCTACTTACAAGTACAAATTATTTACTGAGAAACTAGTGCTGGAATGCCATAGAAAATACTGAATCACCTAACAATCCATACTGTAGATGTGCTAAATGATCAGGTGGCAAGGTCTTGTCTTGAATTTTCTTAATGAGCTTGCGGGCAGTGTCTGGTGGGTCTCCAGTACCAGTAGTGGAAATAACAATAACTACAGGATCCTTTTCTTCTTCCAGATTATACTACAAATAATTCAAGAAAGTAAGTTACAAAGTGCCATTTTATAAATATTTGTGATCTTAAATGCTATTTTCCACTTTTCTTTTTCCCAAGGTACACAAAAAAAGTTTAATTTCACCTTATCTCTATAAAAGCACAGGTCTTTCAGGTAGTTAAAAAGTTACTTTGAGGATACAACTTAGAATCTTGTTGATTACTTTGTTCATTAATTCAGCATTCATAACCATCTGAACAGAAAAAAGAATGGCAGCTCAGCTATCAAAGAACAGGTCATATGAATTCATAAGATGGAAACAACTAGGTGCTTAGAGCATACGGTTAACTCAAGAACGTGTAAGGTTTTCCCCCCAAAGATTACTGTTCCTTTATTCACTGATGATATTTTTTACTTTTCATCTAACTTTGCAAATGTAGACTAAAAAGCAGTTTTGTTGTTGTCACTTTTTTCCAAGATTTTTATGAAGAATCCAAAAACATTTGCATAAGGCAGCTTAAAGAAATATCTAGCACAGCATTGTGCCTCTGACAGCTCCTTGTGCAGTAACTGGGATTTCCAAAGCTTCCAAACCTGATTTTACAGGAGTTTCATCCGTGCATTGTCACAAGCTACTGTAGTATTCACAAATAAAAGCACTAAATGCAAACTCTACTCCTGTCATACAAGAAGTTATGCTAAATTGTGTGTGTCCTATTAAAAAAGTGTAGAAAGTAAAAGCTAGTATACTAGCACAGAGGCGCAATTAGTTCATTAAATTCCGATTTGATGCCTCCCTTCTCTGCAAACTTAAAGACAACAGTTTGGAAGCCAAATACTTGGGACAGATTCCTCGGGAAGGGCGGTCAAGGTCATGTGGCCTTCAGAAGGGCAGAACCTGCACTGGTTTATGCCAATTACCAGGAAGTCTGGTGCATATCTAGACCAGCAAAAATCTTGCATGTGATTTCTTATTCTGTTTTCCACTCCTTCCTGTATCCCTTGGCGTGCCCATCTTCATCCCATTCTTTCTGTCTCCTTCAAATTAACTCCTCAGTTGAGGACAGCAGTGCTACACAGCATCACAGAGCAGCCCGCTCAGGCTGTGCATGATTGCTGATGGAAAAAGATGTGACCAAACAGCCAGAGGATGTCTTGCTGAGAATAACACATGTCATGGCAAATGTGCTTATTCATCACTCATGCAGGACCACGCACACAGCTCTGTCCCAAGAACATGCCCATTTAGTCTCTTGTTTTATTGCTCCTACCTCACTTTCGCTTCATTTCAGTCTTTCCTCAAAAGCAAAAGCAATCACAGTAAAAAAAAAAATGAAATTTTAAACACCAGGACTAACCTCTTCTTACCTACAAGAAAATGCAAAAGCTTGTGCTTCCGAGACCTGACCACTCAACATTGTATGGCAATGGGATCCTATTATGACTACTGACTTGGTAAACACCTATTCCATCTGAAAGGATTGCTCTGGTGATTTCTAAGTGATGATAAGGTCTGAAAGAAATACTCAAGAGCAGTGTAAAAAAGGACCTTCTCCTAACTGGCAGTCAAATCAGAATTGTATCACTTCTCTCACTTGATGCATACATTCACCTCCCTGTAACACATAGGAATAAAGCAAAACACATTTACTTAAGTGGCAGCCCAACAGCAAGGCTAGAAATATGCTGCCTATAGCCTTCCAGAAGCTAATCTCCACAGGTCTCAAAGTTGTAGGAGTGAAACAGAAGAACATAAGATGATTTGTCACATTCCTCGGCTGCATAAAACTTGGTAACTATTTGCTGCATTTTGAGTGAGCGTCCATTTAAGAGCTGCATCGAGCTACCAAGCAAGTAGTTTTTTCCAAAGAAAGTAACTTGCTAAAAAGGTACTAAGTTATTTTTAACTTCTCATATTTACAAGTGCATGAAAAACAAAATCAGGTGGTATTTTCTGTTTATCTCATCCAAAATAGTTTAGTTTTTCTCTATTGCTGAAAGTGGAGAGCAGTTCTTAGTACTGTACGAGCCCAAGGGGTTTTTAATCACAAGCAAAAGCTAACAGTTTTTAGACCCTTGCTCTCAAGTAACAACAAAAAGGTAATTACACTCTAGAAAGAAGTAAAAGGCTTGGCTAGAGAAAGTATCTCAAATATGGCTAGTGTGACCTGGGCTAAGTCCATACACTCAAAAAGATCCCTGCAACCTCAAAAGCTCCAGGTCATACTGGAGCACACACTTAGCAGAACACAGGACCGCAGCCCAACAGAGTGAGACTGGACATTTAACACTAGATGTTACATTTTAGATGGGTACACGTCTATAGCAGCCACCGTGCAAGCACAAAGGAAAGTGCCATCCAAATACTTATTTTCTGAAAGCAGCATGGAGCAGCTCACCTTGTCCATCTCACTCATACAGTGCATATCAGCTTCGAGTCCGCGGGCGCCTGCTTGCTGCTGTATTTCCTCCGCTATTGCCTTCGCCTGCCCCTTTTGTGTGGCATACAGGAGTAAAAACCTCCTTTTTAAGTCACAACACATTTTTAATATAAAAAAACAACAGCACTCTGTTTTCAGAGACACTATAGAAAACAAAAGGGAGGAAAAAAAAAAAGGTAAATTTACTGCATACAGAACAGCAAGAGATTGCTTTGCTTATCAAAGAGAGTTCCCTTAAAAGTCAGCACTACATGTGCTTAACTTGAAAACTAGACATCTTGCTAGACACATATACTTAGAAGCCACTTCTCAGAACCAGGCTGCTTGCAGGCCACGGTTACGAAGGCCCAGCTGGTACTACCTCCATGTGCTGGATTGCCTGAGCAGGGCAGTACCATTGCAATATGCCCGGTACCAGTTTGTAAACAAAGCAACAGAGATTGCAAGCAAACAAATACAAATACATATACTTATAAAATTATAATTTTTTTTATTTATTTTTACACAATACATTTTATTTTTAACTTTTGGTCAGTGACTGCTTGGATTTTTTTTTCTGAGCTGCATTTGAAAACAAACAGAAAATCACCACTGAACTTCTCCAAAGTAAGACTTTTGCCTTTGTGCTTTAGTGCCCAAACATATTTTTTCATTCCATATTTCCAAACACAGTTCCTTACACAAGTGCTACTATAAGATTTGATATTTTTTCCCCCTAAAAAGCACAGAAGCACCTTACAGAAGCCTTCCCTAACGCGGACTGCCGCTCCCTGCCCCAACTGCCGCACGCAGCAGCACAAACGCGGGAGAGAAGCCCCTTCCTTCCCGATCCCCGCTCCTGCAACCTACAACCACGCGGGGATCAGAAACTTTCCTCTCCACCCTCCTTCTTCCACCCTGCCTGCGCGCATACGCACCGCCACACACACGGGCGCGGCTGAGAACGAAGGAACCGGGTGAGTGAGCGGGCGGGCGGGTGTTGTGCGGCTCCGCAGAGGCTTTTGCCGTATTTTTAATAACGCGGGTGGTGCTTTGCTCTCCACATGTGTCATACGCATTTTTTCCCCTCCTGTAGGCAGCTTCTGAGGATGTTGTTGGTGCACTATGGCTCTGATGAGCCTAAAAGGCTTCCGGTTTTGTGCGCGCAAGGCGGCAGCGAGCAGATCCGCGCTGATGACTCTAAGCAAAAGCTTGAGCTTCATCAGCGGGCAGCAGCAGTCCCCCAGATGCAGCCCTTTAGCCATGAGGATGTGGCATTCCAAGGGGAAGTTTCAGTACGTGCTTAGTCGAAACATCCACGTCCCGGTGCGGATCCAGTCTCTCTCTGCTAATGAAGCGGCGCATCTGTGTGGAGATCCTGGGAGCAGCCCCGTGTCTGATAACAGGTGGATGGATGAGCAAATGTTTTTCAGGAAGTTACAGGGCCTCGATACGTCCAAAGAGATTTTTGAATTTCTTAGCTCTCTGGAAATCATGTCTGATATCATGGCCTCAGCAGCCCTGCAGAGGATTTCTGAAATGGAGGTGGATGGCAGTGGACTGAAAAACTCTGAAGGAATATTAGAAAATGAAGTTTTCAGGGCATTATGCTTTCAGTTCAAATATGAATCCTCAAAACTGTCCAGCACTGGGCTGCTGAGTGCATTGCAAGCCCTGATAAAGCTGCGTGTAGATCCCCAGGGTTCACTGATAATGAACTTGCTTTCAGAGGGTCAGGAGCGGCTCGAGAAAGGACAGCTGACCACTAAAAACCTGTGTGATTTTGGAGAGGCTTTGCTTGAGTTGGAAGGCCCAAGTTGTGTAATCCTGGAACAAATTTTAAGCCGTATGCAAGAAAAAGACATTACAAAGTGCAGTCCTAGTGAAATGGTGACTGTTTATAGGATGCTGCAGAGGAGTGTCAGAGAAAGGGAGCAATACCAAGACTTGCTAAACAGAATGAACAATGTCACTTTAACCATAGCTTCCCAGCTAAGCCCACGGTTCTTGAGCATAGTACTGAATTCGCTAGTTGTTCTTCATCAGACTCAGGCAGTCTCCTTAGTCATAGCACTGTGCAAGCATTCGGTGAAGCACGTTCCTTATTTCACAGATGATGAACTGGTCCATGTGCTAGAAGCCTTCCTATACTTTGGACATCGCCAGCAGATTTTTACAGAAGCCCTGGAAAGGCATGTTCCCAAGTCCCTTTTTGCCATGCGCCCGGAAACAGTCAGCACAGTCATGAAGTACTGCTGCCAAAAGATGATCCTTTCAAAGCCCATCTTTGATGCGGTGGCAGAGGTGTTCATTTCTGGCGCTGATGGATTTACCACCGAGCAGATTGCTGAGTGCCTCGTGCCGTTTGGGACTCTGAACTACCTTCCTCCGAGTGCACCTCTGTTGTTCGGGAAGCTTGAGAGTGTTCTGTGTACTCGCTTTGGCCAGTTTCAGCCTCACACCTTGCTGAAGCTGCTGCACTCGTGTGTCCTAGTCCAGCGTTATCCAGTAAATTTTCTGGCAAAAATATTTAGTCCCTATTTTCTGCAACAACTTAAAGGTAAGGGGCATTATTTCTGTCTGTTGTTGTGTTCCCCTTTGCTATTACATGGTATGTCACTTGTTCAACACCCATTTCTTTTCACTTGCATCCCATTAAAACTTGCCTAATCCCATCAAATCAGCAGTGACCTGGTTAAGGTGACTGGAGAATATGAAGAATAGAGATTGGGAAGCTGGAGTTTGGAGCACCCTTGTCACAGTTGCAGTTATCTTTCAGATTGTCAGTTACAGGAATTTCAAAGTTATGCAATACAAACTTAAGCAGAGATCTAAAATACCTTAAAATTTTTCTTTCATCAATCCTTCTGCTTTTCTGAAAATACTACCCCTCTGTTATCCTCAAGGATATCCTATGTTATCCTATGTCTGGCACAGTTTTTAGGCTGAATGATTTTGTGCAGGAAACATCTTTTAACTCCAGTCATTTAAACATCCATGTCTGTAAAGACTCTTTCATGAAGTCCTGTGAAACTGTTGTATGTCTTGCTTACAACCCTGTCACAGGCAAGCCAAAAATAGAAAATAAAAGGATCCTTATAAAATTAGTCCAGGTTCATACAATTTCTGGAGAGAAATGAGATGAAATGTAGCATTGGGAAAAATAATTTGAATTACTGTTTTTGGTAAGTAGGTCTTAAAAATATGCACATAGCATTTGTAAACCTTAGGCAGTACAAAATGTCCTTTCAAGTATTATTTTGACAAATTATTGAAATGAGGTCCACTGCCTGCAGGCACTTCTACAACTTTATTCCCTACCTACTGTCAGGCAGCATTGCTTCAGACTTGTCAAATGGCCAAAATAAAACTAGATTTTGACACATGCTGTCATCTTCTTCAATCACAATAAGGATTCTTTTCCTTTCAGGATAAGGATTATTGTATTACCTTCTTGCTTCCATCCTGGTTGTATTTCTCTTTCATATTGTGTTACGATCAGTTTGTGAAAACTGATAAGAGTAAAATGGATAAATCTGATACAAATTCAATTGCAGTGTGTAATTGTCAGCTTAACTGAAGTAGAAAGGAGAGCTGAACCAATAAAATATGGCACCATGAGAAAGATCAGCACTTATAGATGAGCTAGTATTTTTTCTAAGTATTTAGATAAAAATGTAAGTTGTATTCTGATACTCACATATAAAGAAGGAAACAGATTATTTATTGAAGATAAATAAGCTCAGGCTTATTTCTGCAGAACATCCTGCCTTTCTCAGATCCTCGAATTTTGTGGAAGAAATTACAGTCTTAACTAAGGTCTTTCTAGTCCTATGTTCCTTTTCTTTTTAATGCTTCTGATACTTCTGTAAATCATTTCCTCATTTTTCAGAATATTTAATTTCACAACTGATCTTTCCATTTATTCAAGTAAGCTGCTAACGGTGTAGGATAAAAAAAGTTCTCTACGTTTTAAACTGATGCTTTCACAGCTGACTTCTGCATGATTGCTTGTGTTGTAATACTGTGGAAATTGTACCTGAACATCTGAATATTGTTGTTTCAGCTCAGCCACCTGGTTTGGACAGATTTGTTACCTCCCAGCTAACCCAGCTTTTTTTAACGGCTACCTTGGAGTGCCCTTTTTACGAGGTATGTTAAATGTGAAACCAGACATGGTCTTAACAGGAAGTGATATGGTCATTAGGACCCTGTTGATAGAAGACTATCTTTCCCAGAAAAATAATGGAATAGGATGAATTGGCTTTCCTTTTTTTCCTGATGCAACAATATTTCAGAATGTTTGACTGAACTGAGGTGTTTGTATTTTCGACAGAATTGACTGCCGCTACGTTAACGTTCCTTTTGTGTGTTTCTGAGCACCTTACCTGCAACTTTGGTTGTGTTTGCTTTATACAAGCCTGGAGCACAGGAGAAATCTGATGCTGGCCTGACTGCAGGAGGATGGGAACTGTTCTGTATTTCTCATAAGTAGTATGGCCTGCACGGTAGCCTAGAGGCCTGCTGAAGATGTGCTAGTGCTTTTTGCTTTTAAATTCTAGGAGGTCCTACCTCTGGCTCTAAGTTTCTCATTCGACGTGGTTTTGAAATGGGCATATTAAGTCCTGTTACATTAATACTTGAAATAAATACCAAAATGTTTTCTAACCGAACCCAAAATTTCTCTCTTAATTGCCTATTTATGAAATGTTTCTAATTATTGCTGAAAATAACAACAGAGGAATTAGATTTTTTTTCTTTTTTCTTTTTTTTTCTTGGTAAATGAAGTGATTTTTTTTAATCATTTATTGGTTGACTTTGTCATTCTATAGGGCCCCAAACTCCTTCCAAAGTATCAAGTAAAGGCCTTTCTTATGCCCGGCAGTTCTCTGGATGTTCACCTCCTCAACAGAGTGAAAAACGGACTTCTTTATTTACTGAAAAAAAGAATATATTTTGCATCAGAGGTTTCAACACCATATTTCTATACAGTTGGTAAGCAATATTATTTCTTTAGATTAATAAAAAATGAGTGCATGCACAGTGATAACTTCATGTTGTTTTCCAGAAATAATAAAAAAAAAGATTGATTTTATTCCTTTTGTATGCATTCTGAATTGTGCAAATATGGAAAAAAATAAACTAGGTTAAAAAAAAAGTCTATATTGAGGATTTGAAATTTGCAATTAGGAAATGTACTAGGAAATTTAAGTAAATGCATTTTCAAAGTGAGAAAGAAAAATAAGGAGAGAAAATTGCTGCAATGTTACTTTGAAAAAATATTGGATTTACGCACCTAGTATGCACTGATAATAGTTGTGCTCTTTATTTTTATTATCAGACCCTCCTTTACTTATCCCGTAAACAATTTACATAGTATAAAGCAAAATGGGGCAATGCCCCTTGCCTCATCTATCTGTTGGATGGTGGAGAAACGGGGAGCTGGGTGGTTGGGGAGCTCTTCTGTGCTCACCTGAGCTCCTCCTGCCTTAGCAAGAGCTAAGTAAGGAGCAGTTTGTAGAGTGGAAGAGTGGGCAGAAGAGTGTGTGTTCCAAGCCCTGGGAAAGGAGGCTGAGAGAAGGTAGTAAGGAGGAGAGATGTCATGTGCCTAAGTGGCCTGGAGGATGAGGCAGGTGCCCAGGCTCAACAGAGGGAGAGCAAAAAAAAGCGGGAGGTTTTGAAGAACTACTCCGTATTTCAGCCTGCACATGAAGGTGAAGTTAGCAGGGGTTAGGTCCCAGTGTCCCTTTGAAAAGTCATATCATCTATAAAATCAGCCAATTAAGGAAAAAATAGGCAGGAAAGAGACCCATTGAGAAGAAAATGTTGCTATAGTATTTTAATGTTGTATAAAACAATAATTTGAAAGAGAATGAGAATTAAGGTGGTTTGTTGTATGAAATGGGTCTTAATTTCCCTTCTCTTTTCATCTATACTAGATATAGAGATTAAATTAGATGAAGAAGGCTTTGTATTGCCTGCTGCCCAGCTCGAAGAGGTACACAGACGGTAAGAGAATAACAGAAACCACAAATAAAATGTTGGTCAGACAAAAAGTAGAGGGCCTGGGAAGAAAACATGGCTAAGTTTAAAATAATTTGAATTTTGCCATTGACCTCAAAATAGCTAAGATTTCACACTGAAACTACAGATAAAGGGACAAAGTTGGTAAAATGAATGATTTATACTTTTTTTCTTATTACTTTGCCTTCTGATTATACCATGTCAGACAATTAGTCTCTTTATCTGATAACATTCAGGGTCAAAATGTTCTTAGTTTAGCTTACAGGATCTTTCTGATCTTGTTAATACATTTACTTTTTTTAAATAATAATAATAATTCTGATTGAGAGTGTCCACACCAGTTTAATGAGTTTAAGCAAATTTCAGTTTGCATCCTTATTTTTCTAAGAGCTATGGTATAACATGACTTTTTACAGATGCTGTTGCATAGAAGAATGCAAGTAAATCAAGGATTATTTTGAAAGACTTAGAGACAAAATTAAGCAACCTGCCAGATCTGTATTTGTAACTGCACTTCCATGAGTAAGCAAACAAAAATTGAAAAGGCAATGTTTCTTCAGCTTGAGCTTGACATTGCCTCACAAAGTCACATAGGTTCTTTCAAAAATCCGATCCTTAAGTACTTAGGAATAGTCTTGTTTTCTGGAATTACAACTTTTATGTATAAATAAGGTCACAATATACACAGCATCCTTAAAATTTATGTACCTTTTATAGTGGGTGCACACTTCTTTTTTTTTAGGTTTGTGTGGTTTTTATGTCACCAAATAGAAAAAATAAACCTATAGTCTTTGGTGCTGCCAACCATGCGCACACGTTTAAATTGAATTGATAAGAAGTTGAATAAAGTTAGCTGCTTAAACATTTCTGAGGTGGGAAAGTATTTTATTTGTTATTTCCTAGTAGAATTCAAACCAGCTTACCAATAGAAGCATTAAAAAACCAAACTCTTATCTTACTATTATTCTTATCTTATTATCTTACAGGGTATTTTTGTATAACGCATCCAAGTAAGTTTTGCAGATCAGTTTTACTGTGCTTCTGCTTTAGTTTTTTTTTTCTCTATTAATTTGTTCTAAACTAGGTGACTCCTATGATGCAGCATATAATTCTGGAAGAAATTTGGCAGTAAAAGGAACCATTGTCATTTTAATTTGGTGTTAGTAGTTTCGATGACTAAAATTATACTGACGATATTTTGAAATATTATATTTGTGCTTTATTTTAGACTTGCCCTCTGTGTTGATGGTCAAAATAGATTTTGCATTAACAGCCACCATCTGTTGGGAGAAGAAGCTATTAAACAGAGGCATCTTAAGTTACTTGGTTATGAAGTTGTGCAGGTAAAGTCCAAAGACAGCAATTCGCTTTTGTTATGGCTAACAAAACAAGTGAAAAATGACTCCTTTACAGTGTTGCAGTGTTTAAAGCTGTTGTGTTCTTGCCCCTTCTATGTTATGTTCCATCTGCCTAGTTAGGGTTCTCTTTCTTTTGAAAGAGGGTGTCTGCAGTAAGGTTCATATTTCGCCCTAAGTGAAAGTGCTGTCCAAGAGTTACTTGGGATTATGTTTTTAATCAAATACTTTTAAAAGAGATCTGCCTGGAAGCTTGGGGGAAAAAAAAAAGCTTGGTATTGTAAGTACAGCAGAGTAATTCCTTTATTTTGCATGTTGAATAAATAAGGTCTGGTTTCTTTTCTCTTTAAACATATTTTGGATTAAGAGTTACTGGTAGAATTTTAAGATTAGTTTTCTGTTTTTAATCACTTACTACATAAACCTAATCACTTCATATTTAATTTAGCCTTATCTGGAATGAACATTGCTCTTTGTTTTGGGGTAACCTCCGTTCAGGTGGTTCTGACAAGATTAACCTGTTAATAATATATTTAAGATTAAAGGTTTGATCTTATAGATGAAAACTCTTTGATGGGTGATTTTACATCTGCTTAGTAAAAATTTATCTTAAAGGATACTGAATATTACTCACTTGCTTATTGAAATCTGTTTCCAGTAATCATTTTTCTATTTCATTTCCAGATTCCATTTTTTGAGATAGAGAGTCTAAACAATTGCAGAAGAATGGCAGCATATCTACACAAAAAAATCTTCCCTCATGCATATGGACTCAGATGCTGACACTGGCAAACAATACTGTGCTGCAAGTTGATCTTCTGTACTATCAAGTGTAAATATTGTGCATGGAGAAAGAAATCTCTTTTTTTACATAACAGCTTCTAAAAATGAGACCTTCCAATATTTGGAACAATTAATATGTAAACAGTATTAAAGAACAACATATTTTCTTAAAGTGTACCGTTTTGGTTTTTCTTTTGATATTTACTGTTTTTTATTATTTACTATTTATACCTGTTTAATTTTAACAAATATAAAAGTTAAGCAGTCAGTGCTGCATTTCCTTTGTATCTGCACAAGTTCTAACTCAAATTTACAGGTGGACAGATGAGACTATATTTAAGGGTGCTGTCCATTGTCAAATGCTCAGAACATGGCATGTTTGTGGCATTATTACTACTATGCCAAGTAGTAATGCTTTGCAGAAAATAAGAAGGAGCTTAAAAAATATTCATTTTGCTTCCTAAAATGACAGCTCCCGCAGGGTAGTGGATTTCACAGCTGTCTGTGGGAGTGAGCTGTAAGTTCTGGATGTGTGCTATTTGTAGGACTCAGATGTGGTTTGGGCAGTTTCAGCCATGTGGGGTGATGCAGGCACTCCAGATTTGCCTCAGTTTGAACAGCCTGCTATGGCAGTTTAAACTGAACCAGATGATTTAGCACACTATAAAGTGTTAGAAGCAGAAGAATGTTCTCTACCATCATTTCTTATGCGTGAGTATATAAATTCTGCCAGGAGGGTGGAATGCATAACTGGAAGCAGTAGCCACTCAGCTGGGAAAAAATGTCTGCAGACATTCACACTTCCCCCTAATACAAAAGAAATCACCAAGGTGCTCATTTGGCACTAACAACTGAGCACTGAAGTAGGGAGTCAACATTCACACGGTCCCCTTTGGACTTCACCTGTACAAGTTCATAACCAAGCAACTTAAGATGACTCTGCTTAATACCTCTCCTTTTGCTATGGTGGAAGTAAACTGGTGAGGTACCTCTCTCATGCTAGCCAGAAGGTGGTGGTGTTTTCAAATAATTTGCTTTTGTGCAGTTTGCAAACACAGAGAGTGTGTAAATACAGTCAGGGGGACACTTACAAGAAGTAATTTACACTGATTGTCCCAAACTAAAAATAACCTCTGTAGAACAGGGCCATATTTGATCTCAGTCTTCACTGGCATGCATTTGATACTAATTCTTGTTAAAAGCACTCTGTTGTTATTAGAAAACACATACGTCTCACTTTGTTCTTGCTGTGACTCTGATTCAATTAATGCTATTGGATTTGTTTGATGGAATATTTATTGTTGAAAAGGAATGGAGGAGCTACTGTTCTCGTCCCTTGTCATCAGTCAGTGAAAAAGGAAAACCTGCATGTCATAAATAAGGATAGGTGGCAAAGACCTCAAGGGGCTGGGCTGCTGTTTGTACTCCAGTTCTTACATCCTGCCACAGCTAGAGAGATTGATGACTTTTTTGCTTCTGCACATCCCAGATTAAGTTGTTCTTTGTTTTTATTTTTTGGGTTTTATTAGCAAATTCACTGGTGTTCTTGCAAATGAGCTAGGTTTGCT